ACACACACACACACACACACACACACACAGTCCCTAGCTCCAGTACCCTCTCCCCATGGTTACACACACACACAGTCCCTAGCTCCAGTACTCTCTTCCCATGATTACACATACACACACACAGTCCCTAGCTCCAGTTCCCTCTCCCCATGGTCACACACACACACAACCCCCAGCTCCTGGGACTCCCACCACATTACACGAGCGGAGTCAGTACGCCTTGGAGGGTGATGACGTCATCGTTGGGATGGAAGGCCATTGCATACCATTGTGGAGGGCGGGGACACCATGTTCCCTGGTGGAAGTTCATTGCCTTACATAATGGAGGAGAGTGGTTACATCGTCCCAGGAGGCATGGGCCTTACATCGCCTATGGAGGGTGACCACTGCCTTGCACCACGCTGTTCCGCGCGCACTGCTGCTTCACAGGAGGCCTGGGCTCAGACACCCCGTGGTCATGAGGGTGAGACACTGTTTCCTCCGATTGAACATAGAACCGCCATGAGGCTCAGCCAGCGTGACAGCCATTAACGACCGTCGTCACTATGCCGTGACACCACCCAGGCTGGTGCTCGGCCAGACAGGTGGGACACAGACAGAGCAGTAGCCATCACCCCTGGGGGAGGTATCGAGGGAAACCTGCGCTGAACGCCACACCGAAGCCCTTATACAACCGACCGTTCAGCAGGGTGGGTTGGGGTCCCCCGCCCTCAGAGCACTCCCCCTTTCCCGCATCCCGGCTCAGCTCTATAAAGCCCATGGCTGGCAAGTAGACTCCGACTCATGATGACCCTGTGGCCAGCCTGGAGGGGGCGCCGGAGGGTTTTCAATGACCGTGATCCGTCGGGACCAGAGAGCCTCTGGGTGGGTCTGGAGTAGGTGTTCTTAGTGGGTGTTCCACCCTTTGTGACTCCCCTCTGGAGTCTGTCCCCAGAGTCACAGGGTCACCAAGCCTTTGTCTTCCCAGGGCAATCCAAGACAGCCGAGGTTGGCCCGCCTCATGGACCAGTTCCCCAGCAGCCCGCCCTGGGACCTGGATTCAACCCCTGACCCCGGGGCTCCCGTGAACGCCACAGCAGGCGATGAGGGGAGCGAGTGGTCCCCATACTGAGTGTCATGTTCCTCATCATGGTGGGGGTCTCCCTCTGCGTGATGGTGGGCAATGGCGTCGTCTCCGGGCTCCTCTGCCTCCTTCCCGCCAGCAGCCCCTCCACCACCTACATGCTGAACCTGGTGGCCACCAACCTCCTCAACCTCTGCTGCACCACGCCGATCCTGCTGGAGCAGGTGCTGGAGCGGTACCACCAGGTGGCCCTGGGTGCCTCCGAGCTCCTGGAGCCCATATCCTGCTTCCTAGACATGGCGGGCCTGTGTCTCCTCGCCGCCCTGAGCGCCGAGAAAGCATTGCGTTCTCTCTGCCCTGCCTGGTTTGGGCGCCGGTGCCCCAGGCGGGCCTCGGCAGCGGGTGTGCCCTGACCTGGGCCCTGGCCCTCGGCCTACCCACAGGGTTGAACATCTGCAGTGACTTCAAGATGCACTCGGGGTGCCAGCAGTTTCTCAAAGCCTTCCTGGCCTGCCACTTGCTCCTGTGCCTGGTGATGTGTGTGTCCGGCCTGGTGCTGGGTACCCGGGACCTTCATGGGTGCCGGCTCTGCTGCCCCTCCCGAATCTACCACATGGTCCGTGCAGTGCTTACCACCGTCTTCCTGTGGAGCCTGCCCCTGGTCATCGTCGTAGTGTACCTGCCGTGGGGCGAGTACCTGACCCTCACCTTCGACCTCCTGCTGCTCCTGTCTGCTCTGGCCAGCACGACACACCCCCTTGTGTACTTCCTGGTGGGGTGCCTGCCCACATGTGGGCGCAGGGAGCCCCTGGGGGTGGGCCTCCAGAAGACGCTGAGGAGTGAGCTGGAAGTGGAGCCCAAGAGAGCACTGTGGACCTGAGAACCCCTGCGGATGCCGCCCACCGCCCCTCCCAGCTGACCCTCTGCAGCTGGCTCATCACAGAGCCCGTCAGCTCCCAAGACAGGGGCAGTGGGGGGCTTCTGGCAGCAAGAGGCCGCGCCAGGATTGCATCTCAGACACACATACACACACACACACACACACACACATGCCTGCTACGCTGTGAGAGACTGAGCAGCAAAGCGTGTGTCCACTTGGCTCCATGGTTCTGCAATGACACAGTGATGTCATTCATCCTCCCCAGCCCACTGCGGTCGGATGTGACCCGCCTGTCAGGGGTGTGATGGTGTCCACCAGACGTTTCCGGGCAAGGATACCAATCAGGTTCCAGCCTATCGACACCTACTTGCTGTCATAAGCCTTTTTGTGTCGGGGAGAGAGGCCGCATGGAGTCACATCCCTAAGGCCCTCCACCTTCGGCCAGAGCTGCCTGTTTCTGCATCTAGTTCCTCCATTTCTTGTGACGTCAGCTTCCGATCCCAGGTGTCAGTGGTGGACTACCGACCGTGCGTTTGTTCGGCCAGCTCGGGACCTCTGCTTCCACAGCCTGTGCCCCCACGTCCGCGCCATCATCCTTCTCCCTGCTGGTCTGATTCCATGAGTCAGGAGAGGTGCAACTTCGGCTGGACGGGACTCACCTGTTTCAACAACTCGCGTGGGCCATTTCTAGATGTTCTCACTACACAAACACGTACGCACAACATGTACGCACATCACTGGTTTTGCTTCTCCAGAGAAGCCGACCTGACACGGGTGGTAAGGGGAGTCGGCAGAGATGCATCACTCTATTGCGGTCACAGCCCTGATCTGACATAAGGGGAGCATCTCTGGGTTGTGCCATCTATCGCCTATCACTTTTTATAAAGGAATTTTGGGGAGGGGAGGGGATACATTGGGGGTGGCGCGAGGTTGTGTGAGGCCAGGTTGACTAGAGAAACAAATCCAGCGACCCTTGTATATGTGTCCGAAAGAGCTTTATATCAAGAAGTAATTGTATATCAGGAAAACATCCCAGCCCAGTCCAACTCAAGTCCATAAGGCCAGTCCTAGCCTATGAGTCCCTCTGCAGACTCACGCAGCTGCGTGCAGTGATGCAGAACACAGGAAGGCCACAGGCTGGTGGTGCAAGGTCTTGTGGATCCAATGGCGGAGGACGCAGCTCTAGAACTCTCACAGGTATCAGCATGGCCTGCCAGCAGGAAGGTGAAGGGAGGGGGGAGAGAGAGGCCCGCCTCCAGAGAGCCATTTATCTCAGCCACGCCCCCAAATGAGGTCATCAAGCTGCGACCTGGTTGACAGGCTGAACTCCACCCCGATCTTCTTTTTTTTGTTGTTTAATCGTTTTATTAGGGGCTCATACAACTCTTATCACAATCCATACATACATCAATTGTGCAAAGCACATTGGTACATTCATTGCCCTCATCCTTCTCAAAACATTTGCTTTCCACTTAGGCCCCTGGCATCAGGTCCTCATTTTCCCCCCTCTCCCTCCCCGCTCCCCCCTCCTTCATGAACCCTTGATAATTTATAAATGATTATTTTGACATTTCTTGCCCTATCTGACGTCTCCCTTCACCCACTTTTCAGTTGTCCATCCCCCAGGGAGGGGGGTCACATGTAGATCCTTGTAATCGGTTCCCTCTTTCCAACCCACCCTCCCTCTACCCTCCCAGTATCACCACTCACACCACTGGTCCTGAAGGGATCATCCACCCTGGATTCCATGTTTCCAGTTCCTATCTGTACCAGTGTACATCCTCTGGTCTAGCCAGACTTGCAAGGTAGAATTGGGATCATGATAGTGGAGTGGGGAGCATTTAGGAACTAGAGGAAAGTTGTATTTTTCATCGTTGCTACATCGCACCCTGACTGGCTCATCTCCTCCCTGAGACCCCTCTGCAAGGTCCACCCCTATCTTCTTGGAGGTACCATTGTTGCGGGTTCAAATAAATGACAGCCACTATAATGTCTTAAAATTTAGAAGAGTCGAGAGAGAAAAGGGGGTGGAGGGAGGATGAGGAAGTTAACCATTCCTTGCCCAACCCCTGCCCCACGCCCCAAACAACCAACAGAGAAGCCGGTTTTAAAAGACTGCTCAGAGGGAGTCCTGTGACGAGCAGCACGCAGGTCTGAGCGGGGGAGGGCGTCAAGGGGAAGTCAAAGATGGAAGTCTGGTTGGGGCCGGCTCCCGCTCCCACTCTGGCCCTCATTTCGGCTGCAGCCTCGATCTCCTCCGGCCCTCGGCTCACCAGGTTGCATCCTCCCGTCCTGTCCCTGCCCTGCGCCCACATCCTTTTCCCCCGGGAACCCCTGTCCTCCAATCCTCCAGGCATGGCTGGTCCCTTCTCCCGCCTGCTGCCTGCCCGCCCAGGGCTCAAGTTCGTGGCTGTAGCCGGAGCTGGATCTCTAGCCGCTGGGTTTCTGCTGCGCCCCGAACCTGTGTGACCGCCGGTGAACGACGGAAGCTCTATCCTCCGAGCGCTGAGTACCCAGACCTTCAAAAGCACAACAACGGCATGGCCAGTCACCTGACCCCAGCAGTCTATGCCCGACTCTGTGACAAGACCACCCCCACTGGTTGGACGCCAGATCAGTGTATCCAGACTGGCGTGGACAACCCTGGGCACCCCTTCATCAAGACTGTGGGCGTGGAGGCAGGAGATGAGGAGACCTATGAGCTATTTGCTGAGCAGTTTGACCCTGTAATCGAAGAAGGACACAATGGATATGACACCCGGACAATGAAGTACCCTGCAGACCTGGATGCCAACAAGATTCGTTCTGGCAACTTTGATGAGAGGCACGTCTTGCCCTCGAGACTCAGAACGGGCCGGAGTATCCGAGGACTTGGCCTGCCTCCAGCCTGGACGTGGGCCGAGCGGCCAGAAGTGGAACGTGTCGTGGTGGACGCACTGAGCGGCCTGAAGGGAGATCTGACTGGACGTGACTGTCGGCTCAGTGAGGTGACAGAGGCTGAGCAGCAGCAGCTCACTGATGACCATGTTCTGTTTGCTAAGCCCGTGTCCCCCTTGCTGACCACAGCAGGAATGGCTTGAGACTGGCCAGATGCTTGTGGAATCTGGCCCAACAACGAGCAGAGCTCTCTGATCTGGGTGCGTGGAGAGGATCCCACGCGGGTCATCTCCATGGAGAAGGGGGCAACGTGAAGAGCGTGTTTGAGAGATTCTGCCCAGGCCTCAAGGAGGTGGAGCGGCTGGTCCAGGAGCGTGGCTGGGCGTTCCTGGGGAGCGAGCATTTGGGATGCATCGTGACTTGTCCCTCTAACCTGGGCGCCGGACTTGGGGCTGGAGTGCACATCAAACTGCCCTTGCCAAGCAAAGATACCCACTTCCCAAAGATCCCGGAGAACCCAAGACTCCAAAAGGGTGGGACTGGGAGTGGACACATCTCTAACTCGGATCAACTGGGAGAGTCAGAGGTGGAGCTGGTGCAGCTGGTCACTGATGGAGTAAACTATTTGATCGACTGTGAGCGACGTCTGGAGAGGGGCCAGGATAGCCGCATCCCTCCACCTCTCGTGCACAGCAAGCATGAACTCCTCCTTGCTAACAGATCACTCATGATCCCTGGGACTTCTGCACATTATAATGGTGGCCCATCCTATTTGTCTCAGACTTGCTTCTATCCTAGTAAAGACTCTGTGCTACCAAAACAAATTTAGAAGAGGCTTTATTCCGCCAGCTGGGTTCCCGAGAAACTAAAGTTGTTTCCCCTCAGAGCAGCCCCGAGTAGACTTCTCGGTCCAGCTTAAAAGCCAGAGAACTCATTTAGCATCTGTCTAAGACTCAAGCAAACATGCGCAGAAGCAGAACACAAAACAAATGGGCTAATTGTAACTTCAAAAGAGCAAGTGAGTATTGCAAGGTACATCTATTATCAGAAAAGAAACAATTATAAAATTGATTATAACGTCCTGGTTAACATCAGAAGGTTAATAACACCATTCAGATGACAACATCCAAAGGAACAATATTGAAAAATAATGAAAAGGAACAATATATCGGAGAATCATCTAAACTAAATAATTACAACGCCCTGCAGCTGGGAACCTAAGAGTACATTCTAAAATCAATCACCAGCAGAGACTTTTCCATAAGGGGAGGGGAGCGAGCAGGTCAACTAGCAGTTAGCTTTCTGAGATAGGAGGGGGCAGTAGGCAAGTCATCTAACTGACAAAAACAGAGTTTCTTTTGCTCGTGTGCTCACCAGGTGGACACCAAAACTCCTAACCATCAACTCCAGCCGGTCAACCCTGCAGCCACTTCCCAAGCCCACGCCTGTATTCTGCCCCACCCCTCCTTCCTCATCGCCCCTTATGTGCCTCTGGCCTCCCTCTCACCCAGGCCAATACCTTCCGGCCTCTCCTTCCCTCCCTCCCTCTCTCACCAACCCCCAAAGCCCATTCCCTTTTATCTCACAAGTCGGGAGAGGAGGGGTCAGACAGAAAGAGAAGCTTCCACACCACGAAGCTAGAAGAGCCGGGAGCAAAGGCTACCAGGCCTTTCTTCCTCTCTCCTCTGTCTGAGTGTGGAAGCGGCCCTGAAACTTGCTCAGCACCACAGCACAAGCACACCTCCACGGACACGGGCGTGGCTACGCCTCAGGTGCACTGGTGGGAATCGAACCCTGTGCTCTTGCGTGACAGTGAGAACTCCACCCCGCACCCCGCCACGTCTCCCCTGTGATAGTAATTATGACCAAGGAGCTCTGGAGATACTTTGTTCTGATTCTCTTATCACTTCCCTTCTTCAACCACTAGAGGGCGCTGGAGCCTTTGTTTCTCCCCCACCCCCATCCCCAACCCACAGCTGTAGGTAGACAGGCACCTGCCTGCTTCCAGACCCGGTAGAACAGAGCAGAATTGCTCTGTACGATTCCCGAGTCAGCACCAGCCTTACCTTCCTCCCTCAGAGCCTGAAATGGGTGAGAAGACAGCGGGAACCACATCAACATACATGCAATGAACTGCTGCCGAGCGGACCCCAATTCGTGGCCGTGTGTGTGGGTCAGAGTAGAAACTGCCCCACAGGACCCCAGGGGCTGGGTTTTCGAGGCAACCCTGGGTGAAAAGCCATAGGGTCTCCTATGCCAGGAACGACAAACTAAAGAGAAACGGCCCCTCGTTCGCCATCCAAAGGCTAGTTCAAGCTTCATCCTGATGTACAACGTTGTCAATGAGAGGACACTGCCGCGTGCACAGCCAGAACCACCCACTCCCATGGAACAGGGTCTCACTCACGGTGACCAGACACAGGGCTTCTGAGACTGAATCTTTAGGGGAGCAGACAGCCTCCTCTTTCTTTAGCGGATCAGCTGGTGGGTTTGAACCGCTGACCTTACAGTTAACCACAGCACCACCAGGGCTGTGAGGCTGTAATGTGTAGCAAAAACCAGAAGTGGGCTTCACGTATCCCTTGTCACTTGCAAAGCCAAATCAAAAACCCAGACTCACTACTATTGAGTCCCTTCTGACTCATGGCGACCCTGTAGGACAGGGTAGAGCCGCCCCCGTGGGACTGCAGGAGTGTAACACTTTATGGGAGCAGACCGCCTCCTCTCTCTCCTGAGGAGCACCCGGGGGTTTCAAACTACTGATCTTGTATTCAAGCGGCCCACCACGTAACCAAGGCACACCCAAACCAAACTCACTGCCGCTGAGTCTCAAAAGATACAAATTTCAGACTCTCCCGATGCAAATACTTGGGCCTTCTGGGGGCAGTGGGGTAGGTGATGGGCTGCTAACCATGAGGTCAGCAGTTTGAGACCACCAGCTGCCAGAGGAGGCTGGCTGCTCCAGTAAAGACTTACAGCCTTGGAAACTCACCTGCCCTATAGGCTCCCTGTGAGCTGGAATGAACTTGATGACAGAGGTTTGGGGGACACTAACAGAGCCTCTAACAAGGAAAACCCTAGTCCCAAGTGCAAGGGTAGCCACATGTGTCCCTCTACTTTCTAGTACATTCTGACAAGGACCGCCCCTTAGCATTTCCTAGACAGCTGTCTTTACTGGGGCACAGAGCCAGGGCTTGTCTCCCACAGAGTGACCACTGGGGCCAAACCACAAACCTGTGGTTTAGCAGCTGGGTGTCAAACCACTGTGCCACCAGGGTCCCTATCCACAGGGGTCAGGGTTAGGACTCACAGCCCAGTCTCCATTAAAACAAAAATACCCTGTCTTCCTGAGATCGCTCCTTGGTATTGGCTGCCTTGTTTGTTGCAAGCACCTCGCGTTGCCAAGCATTGTTGGTGCCCTGCTATGTTGATGGGCTTTGGGGGGCAGGTGGGGTGGGGAGGAGTGACATGCTACAACAAACGAGCCCTGGTAGTGTAGTGGTTACGCGAATGGTTGGCAGTTCAAAACCACCAGCAGCTCTGAGCGAGAAAGACTGGGCTTTCTACGCCCGTATACCATTCCAGTCTCGGAGCCCCCCAGTGGGTTGCTGTGAGTCAGCACTTGTCCCATGGCACTGAGTTTTTGAGGGGGCTGCAAAGACCAGAAACCTGCTCTTTCTGGAGGGAAAAACACCAACAAAGCCAAGCCTGGAGCAACCGAGTGGATTCCAGCACTTGATGGCCATCCGGGTGCAGAGAAGAACAGTTGCACCCGGTGCCCAGGATCTGCAGACTTATGGGGGCTGGAGACTCCTCTTTCTCCCTCGTGAGCAGCCCGATGCTTAACCCACAGCACCACCAGGGAGATTCCATGTCTGAAATGAAGCTGCCACCCCGTGGGTTCTGCGGGGAGGACTTTTCCTCAGAGTTGTCCGAGGCTCTGGTCTTTCGGAAGCCGCTCACCAGCTCTGTCTCCTGAGGCACCTCGGGGCGGCTCAAATTGCCCACTTTCATGCCAGTGGCCCAAGGCTTGGCCATCTGAGTCACCCGGAGATTGTGGACTGTTCCCCGGCTTGCCGAAGCATCCATCTGCATCTGCCCCTGTCTCCACACAGGCTTCTCCTCTGGGCATCTTGGCGTCTTCTTTCCGTTTCTAACTGGGACACAGAGATGGTGGCTTTAGGGCTTCCCTCAACCAACAGGACCTCACAGGAACTACTGACACCTGTACAGGCCATCTTTCTAAAGAAGCCCACATTTGGAAGTTCTAGGTGAACCTGGAACCTTAGGGCATTCCTGGCTCACCGTCTGACGGCAAGGATTCGCCGCTGCTCCTGGTTATCGATCAGAGAGCGAGCAACCGCCAGACCAAGAGTAAGAGAGAAGCTCCGTTGCTAAATGTGATGGGTTGGCACATGCTTGGCTCTGTCCGTCTGTCTTTCTCGGAATGTGGTGCCAGCACCTCTCTAGCTCCACAAGGGCCCTTCCGATGGACGTGGCACTGATGGATGGAAGGCTGGAGAAGCAGTTGGCCACATCCGCATGGTGGAGACTCCGCAAGGCTAAAGGCTACTGGTGGGCCTGCCCAGCGCCTCTACGCATGAGCGGTTGGGGGGATAATCCTCTGAGTGAAGTTCGTTGGTCCCAGGGAGGCAGATAGCTTATCCAACCACTCGGTAAAATGGGTGGTGCGGGGGGAGTGTGAAGCAAAAAGGTTTTCATATCAAAAGAAATGGGGGTCAGTGGTTAGGGAGGAAGTGGGGGGCAGAGTGGAGAGAAAAAAGCAAAATGTGAAAACGAAAAATCCCACCTAACAGGGAAGACAAGGAGAACCCGGATGCTCCCTAAGGAAACCGAGGAAAACCCCTGGGGACTGCACACGCTGGTGGAACCCACCCCGGACCGCAGGCAGGGCAAGAGCAAGCGGGAGGACCCCGTGAGGTGGATTGACACAGTGGCTTCACCTATGGGCTCAAACCTCGCTGTGACTGCAGGACGGGTGGGGCAGGTTCCTCCTGCCATTTCTGGTCACATGCGGATGGCAGCAGGACCGGCCGGCCGTTGGATCCCCTCTCAGATGGGCTAACTTGAAATGCTCCTCTTGAGGAAGGCAGGTCTATGTGTCAGAAGACCTGCAGGCTAAATTGCTGGCTGAGGACTGATGATGCTCCTCCTCTTCGATTGCTGGTTGGTTCTTCACACTGAGGTGGCCCAATCCGGGGGCAGAGGAAGGCGCTCCTGGGTTGCCAGTACTTGGGGGGTGAGCGGCGGGCGGCAGCTGGTGCGTCTTCTTGTCTCTTTGAGGGAGCCTTGACCGCTCCTCTCTCACCCCGTGTGCCCCCCACCCCCATCCTTCAACATGGTGTACCTGTGGCTTCCTGGGGACACCTGGGTGACAGCTCTGGTGCTGACGCTGATGCTGCCGAGACCTCCCCTGGCATTGTCCAGGGGCGCCCAACGATGTAAGTGGCATCTTGGTGATGGCTGGTATGGAGTGCGTCACAGTCAAGAAAGAACGAACTCTATCCCAAGCCCAGTGGGGTCCTAGCCTTACACTTTTAAAAAGCATTCTCTTCTGGGAGTCTATCTTTTCTGTCTGGACCCCGGGCATTTTCTACAACAAGAGAGGCAAGGGTGCACGCCCCACCCACGAGACCGGGTGAGGGGTGCTAAGACGGGGTGCTTCTCCTCGGCATGCGAGCATCTCAGCCCATTCCTCCCCATGGTCTTGAGAGGATGTGGTAATACGGTGATGTGGAAATGATCCCCCACCCAACGGTTCCCCTTCTCATGTCAAGGAAGCTAGCTAAAGAGTTCTCTGATTATTTTGGGGGGTGGGAGTGGGGGGAGGGGGTGAGAAGGTGATATTTTGTTCTCAAGGAGAGAGGGGAGCTGGGTTCGGATCCCTAGTTTGTAAGGGGCCTATCGGGACATCGCCTCCACCATCCCCTCTCCTTTTGGTGGTGCTATTGGGTAAGCGTTGAACCACCAACTGCAAGGTCGATGGTTCAAACCCACCCGCTGCTCTGCGGAAGAAAGATGGAGCTGCCTACTCCACAGACAAGATAGCTGCATGAAACGAAGCCTGGGCAGCCTCGTCCAGGGCACCGTGCACTGTAGTCGACTCAGTGACAGCGAGCCTGGTTTCCGTGTGTGAGTGTGTGTGTGTGTGTGTGTGTGTGTGTGTGTGTGTGTTTCCCTCCGTGGAGCATCGTAGACTTCTGCCCATGGAATCAAGTTTCTCTCACAGAAATTGGGTTTTGTGTTCCCCCCACTCCCTGTGGGAAATGCCTGTGGCTGGAAGCAGGGCAGATTCGTGCTCAGAATGACCACGGACATGGCCCGGCTGTGGGGTGTTTGTTGGTGGCCTGGAGACCTAAAGGCATTGTCCGCAGACCTGCCGTGGGCCCGGATCTTCATTAGGAATCACTCTTGCACCTCCCGGTGCTATCAGCTTCTCCTGCCCCTTCGCATTCTGCGGTCTAAGCCCCAAAGCAGGTGCTGCGCTAGTCCGTGACCCCTCATATAAAATCCTGATTTTGTGGGTAGCAAGGGATGAAATACCAGTCGTTTCTTAGGGTTCAGTCGATTTGCCTTGAGCGGAGCCAGCCCCATAGAAGACAGTAATCAAGTCTAAGGGGCGGTCTAGGGGCGCCTTGGCGCCAAGCTCAGGAGCTTGTTCACCCAAGTCTTGTGGGTTCACGTCTGCTCACCCCTCCTCCCACGGGTGTTGCTGTTCATTCCGACTCCCAGGGACCCTTCGGACCACAGAAGCTCCTGGGCAGATCCCCCCGGTCCTGTCAGGCCACCGGGAGTTGGCATCCACTCAATGGCAGTGAGTGCGGCTTCTGGCTGCTCTCTGTTTTTTCCTGACCCCACGCCTTCACCAGTCATGTCCAGAGCTTCCGTTGACACACCGCACTGTAAGAGACCCATCGCAATCCATAGAACAGAATGGGACATCTTCCCAGGAGGAGGAGGAGGAAGATGAAGGTTCTCTGCATTGGTCATTGGGAGTGGACGGGACAGAGTATATTATCTGGGTAACGGGAGACTGACGTTTGTGCCCCGTCTTGCTTGCCACACAACAATCAGCTCTCACCTGCACGTGCTCACACCTTTCTCTCTGGGGCAACGACTCCTTCCTGGGTTCGGTCGCAGGAAGAAGAGAAAAGACGCCCTCTCAGGAAACATCTCTAGTCCGGGAGAGGACACCAACACTCCCACCATCTGCAGCGGAGGAGAAAATCCCCCGTGTGATAAGTCCTGGCGATGAGGCAGAGTCCTGGGCTCACGGCGCTGCCCTTCCGGCGATGAGGGCGCGCTCCCTGAGCACGGGACTCTTCGCTGAGACAGAAGCCGAGGGGCCCAAACCGGTCACGGGCAGAGCTAGGGGACAGCCGCCCGGGAGAAAGGTCTGGCGGTGAGGGGATGCTGGCTGTGCGAGGGCAGCATGAACGAGGGGAAGAGCCAAGTCAGACGGGGCTGGAGCGACGTCGGAGCTGGCTCATTCAAGGTCCTGAAGGCCCAGGTAAGAAAGCGGAAATGCACTGAAAGACCCAGGTGAGGCCGCTGGAGGGCCATGTGAAGAGGTCATTCGTGTTGCTGTGTAAGAATAATTCTAAGTACCACACAGAGGTGAAGTGCAGAGGGACAGCAAAAGAGCAACCAAGGAAGGGTCTCAAGGGGATGCATGGACCCAGTGCCACGGCCATCGGCTTGGGCATGGGGCCACGGTGAGGACGGCGCGGGGCTGGGCAGGGCTTCCTTCTGCTGGGCACGGGGTTGCGATGGGTTGGCACTGACTCAGTGGCACCCCAAAGCTCCACTGGCACATCGAGGGCAGGTTGGTTGCAGCGGGTGCCCAGCGAAGGCCTTGCAAGGGACCCTCAAGGAAGCCCGTAGAACACTCCAGGGAAGACACGCCTGTGGCGCCGTTGAGTGTTGACACAATCAAGACAGAGAGAAGCAGACAAGTTGGGGGCAGATTTGGGATGATGTCGTGGGGGGTGGGGGTAAAATGTGAGTGGTGAGGAGACGATGCAGAAAACCAAGCTTGTCTCCTGATTCTCTAACTGGGTGATGCTGCTGCTGCCGCCAGGGCCAGGGGGGCCAAGGGGAGCCACCGCGTGAAGTGGGGGGCTGGGCTACAGATGCCAACCTGACGCCCGTGTGCAGTTGTCAGGGCGTCCGTTGAAGGCAAGAGGCTTGAGCTGAAGAAGAGTCCAGGGCCGGCGATGCAGGGTCCGCGGTTACACGGATGGCATTCCACGCTGGGAAGTAGAGTGGGTTACGTGGGGAGAGACGGAAAACAAGAAGAGGATCAAGCCCCCACTGCGGCAGAAATCTTCGTAGGAAAAGTTGATCCAAGAAGAATGAGTCAGCCAAGGATTCTGAGAAGGCGTTCCGGCCACACTGGAGGAGAGGCGAGAGCGTGAGATAAGACACAGAAGCCCAAGGCAGCCGGGGTTGTCCCCAGAAGGAGGGAGGGGCGGGATGTGGCGAGCGGTGGGTGGTGAGAAGGGGCTGAGGTCAGAACATGAGCACTGGGTGTGGTGGATTTGACCTTGGGGCCTCCGTGGGACATCCAGCATGCGGATGAACTGCCGGCAGAGCGGCCGGGAGGTAAGGAAGTCTGTTCAGGACAACAGTGAAGTTTTCCACAGAGCTTCCTCAGAGTCCAAGGGGGTGACTTCCGCGGGGTTCTGGGGTGACGTGTGTGTGCTGGACTGCCCCGTGGTTTGGGAGCACGTGGGAGGAGAAGAGGGGAGCGGGGGAGAGAGAGTAACATAACCACGTATCCGTCCATGGTGGCCCGTGTGGTGCGTATTGCAGACCACAAGCCCCATCAGAGTGAGGATGGAAGCCTTCATCTCTGGACCATGGCCCACCTCAGCAGGGCCCTGGGAAACCACAATCGTATCCAGGGAACCGTCCGAGAGGCAATTGCTTCCAAATGACCTTCTCAACCTCGGTTCCAGGTGTCGATGGGATCTGTTGGGTGTTAAGGGGCACAGGGTAGGGAGGTGACCATGCAGTTCACCATGAAGCACAGAGCCACCCGGTGCAGTTCCATGTCTTGTGTCCGCAGGTAGACTCGCCGGCTCTCTAGCGCTTACCTCAAATGGAATCCAAACGGCACCGCCTCCTCCCCCCACCGCTCTCGGACCACAAACCAACGGCAGAGGACCCAAGGGAACACTCCCAGGGCCCACGTCCAGCCCCAGAAACGCCACCCACAGCAGGGTGCTGGCCAGGTTCACCTTCCCCCTCACGATCGCCATCAGTCTCCTGGGATTGTTCTGGACCGGGACCATCCTCTGGCTCCTGGGCTTCCGGATCCCGAGGATCGCCTTCTCCATCTACCTCCTCCACCTGGCGGCCGCGGATTTCACCTTCCTGGCCTGCCAGCTCTTCTCCGTCTTGACTGACATGCTGACCGGTTGCTACGATGTGTCCTCGTCCACCCTTCACTTGAAAGTCCAGGGGCACTTTTACTCCACCTCCCCCACCGCCAAGCGCGTGGCCCCGCTCGCGTTTACCTCCTACACCGTGGGCATGAGTCTCCTGGCCGCTATCAGCACAGAGCGCTGCCTCTCGGTGCTCTGTCCAGTCTGGTACCGCTTCCACCGCCCAAAGCACCTGTCCACCACTGCGTGCGTCCTGCTCTGGACCAAGTCCCTGGTGGTGTGCACCCTGAGGAGAGACAGCTGTGGCTTCCTGTTCAGAGGCTACAGCGAGCGGCTATGCTACAGCCTCACCCTGGCCAGTGTGGTGCTGATCCTCCTGGTCTCTGTGATGTGTGTGTCCAGCCTGACCTTGCTTCTCAGGGTCCAGTGTTCATCTGCGCGGCATCACCCCACAAAGATCTACCTCGTTGTCATGCTCGCCGTCCTCGCCTTCCTGGTCTGCGGCCTCCTCTTTGGGATGTACAGGCTACTTCTTGCCTGGTGGCATGAAACTCACTCCAAACCATGCCCCTGCCCTACTACCTCATCGACATCCTGTCCTGCGTCAACGGCAGCCTCAACCCCATCATCTACTTCTTCGTCGGGAGCTTCAGGCAGTGGCGGAGACGGGAGCCTCTCAGGGTGGTCCTGCAGAGGGCTCTCAGGGAGGAGGTGGAGTGGGACGGAGAGAGGGAGCCCCCCACACTGCCGCCGTGGTGTTGTCTGTCTGAAAGCCGGCGAGGGTCTCCTCATGGACCTGCTGCTCAGCCTCCTATTCATGTTGCGACATACCCTTCCCCACCCCTTCGACCCCCAGATGCCACTTTCTGACCACCATGAAAGGGAGGCCAAGGACAAGGGCCACAGAGGACGATGTGATGTGCAGGCTGTCACCCCACACCGAGGTGTGCTTCTAAGAGCTTCCTACACAAGTCTCCCTGGGGACACTAGAGCGTCACCCACCTCCATCTCACGTCGAACACCTGGACACGACGCGGCCCCTCCGTGCTTTCTTGGAATGGCCTTTGCCCTGGTTCTTGGTGCCGCCAAGATGGCTCCTGCTCACGGGGACGCGATCGGCCACGGAAGGAGACACCACCCCGTCCAGCGCCTTCCTCGCCAGGGTGAAGCTTGAGCCCGTGGCTGCAGCCTTGAACTCTGTGCTGGGCTGCTTCTCCTCTGCTGACCCTGCTCTTCATCGAGCGTGATGTTCTCCACGGGGAGGGGTCCCTCCTGCTAATAGAGCCAACGTGGGGGGGACGAGGTCTCACCACCCTTGCCTCTAAGGAGCCTGCTGGCTGTAATGCTTCTTCTTTGACTTATGATGGCTTGACCGTAATCATGATAAATGTAGATGCACCAAATGAAAGGCCACCAAAATGCATTAATCAAATTTGTTTTTATTTTACTTTATTTTAGTTGGGGCTCCCCCAGCTCTTCTCGCAATCCATATATATATCCATTGTGTCAAACACATTGTACATATGTTATCATCTTTCAAAACATCGTCTTTCTACTTGAGCCCCTGGCATCAGCTCCTCATTCCCCCCACCCCCATGTCCTCTTGATAATTTATAAATTATTCTTTCTTTTTTTCCATGTCTTACACCAACCGTTGTCTCCTCCCACCCACTTTTCTGCTGTCCATCCCCCTGGGGTGGGGGAGTGGGGCATATGTCAATCATTGTGATCGGTTCCCCCTTAATCAAATTCGTATAGAGTCGAAGAGACAAATAGATCATTATACAGTAATACCAGGAGACTTCAACACATCGCTTTCCACTACAGATCAATCAACCTGAAAGAAAATCAACGCAGATTAGAAATGAGGACTTCCTGGCCTTTCTTGGTCCCTTAGTGGCTACAGAAGTGTGTGTGGCGGGCTTGGGAGGTGGGGCACCCGCCCTGGCTTGTTCCCCTTCAGGGGCCACCACTGCTGGTTTCTGAGAATCTTCCCAGTGCCCATCGTCAGCAGCTGCAAGGGATCACTCAGGAGGTGCACGTAAATGCTCTCATCTCTGAGCGCCTCCGCGGGCCTGGTCAACCTCACCACCTGCCCTGCCGAGTGCAGAGAGAGAGAACTCCCCCAAAATCACTGCTCCGGAGTCAATCCCAACTCCGAGTGACCCCACAGGGCAGGGTAGAACTGCCCCCGTGGGTTTCCAAGACTCATGCTTTATGGGAGTAGAACGCCTTGACTTTCTCCCGTGGGCAGCGGGCAGCAGGCGGCTTCAAACCGGCCCCACGGGGAATGCCGCTGTGACTCGCTGAGAGAGAGTTCCCGGTGGCCACCACGCCCTTGAGCTTTCCTCCGTGAGAGCCAGGGCCTGGCCGTGGCCATCGCCGTCGCCGTCGGACATAACAGATAGGCGGGCTGGACGTGCTGCGGTGGGTCTGCAGGTGTTGTCAGAGAGCATTCAGGAAGAGGATGCCGTGCTTGGTGAAGCCGAGGCGCATGACGGAGCGAGGCCCCGGAGGAGCAGGGCTGCAGCAGGGCGCTCATGAAGGACGGCAACTGGGAGGGTGGGTGGGGCGGGGCCGGGCGGTGTCTCCCTCTGTTGTGCGTGGGGTCACTACTAATTGGAGCAGACTCCATGGCCCCTCACCACCACAGAGGATGGTGGAATTGCCCAAAAGACCTGTGTCGGAGGTCTGGGCAGTGGAGCAAGTTTAACACTCGTCACAGGTGCTGTTCTTCCTGCGAGATGCACCCCTGGTATCCTGTTCCACCTTTGCCCTTCCACCTTCTGTAAGATCACAATCACCTGCATGAAATCTCTCTGCTCGAGACACCTGCAGCGGTTTGTTTTCCCCTCAGTAATTCTGATGGGAGGCAGACAGCAGATCCACGTTGCACGCTCCTTACGGTCTGATCTTACTTTCCAAATCTCTCCATGCCCCCGCTGTCTCCGTCTCAAGGGGGCCAAGAGTGGGTGGCTATGATTTATACAGCTAACTGGCTGCCACCAACACCTCTGCATGGACGGCTTGCCCTGCAGCCACCCGACGCCCTGGGTCAAGTCTCACAAGAAGCACGTTTTCACTGTGACGGAGTGCAGACGTGCTGTGGCTAAGGGATTGTGCACTGGGTCATAGCCAGCCTTCCCCCTGGGTGTGCAGACTCCCCGTAACCTTGGGGCCCAGTCCCGAGTGGATGTCCCAGGGCAAGAACATCCGAATTTGATGGCTGGTGCAGCTGTGGCCGGACAAAGCCAGGGGGATGTAGTTTTCCATGGGCTGCCCTTAGCGGACAGACGGGAGACTCAGGGCACGTGCGGCCTGTCAGAGGGGGAAGCCCAGACACAAACCACTACAGCCCAGGGCAGAGTGTAGGGTGCCCAGTCACTTCTCCACCGTGAGTGAGCTGCAGCCAAGGGGGCTCCTCAGAGTTGCTTCTCGTTCCTGGGATCATAAAGAAGGTTCTAGAAATTAGGTCCGTTAGCACAAATAAGCGTGTGTGTGTGTGTGTGTGTGTGTGTGTGTGTGTAGACTGCATAACATACCCACAGTGTGACAGTTTTTTTGTGCCAACATGGCACCCATAAGAAGATATGGGTGGAGTTTAGCTGGGACCTGTCAATCAGGCCTCAGTTTGATGACCTCATTTGGAGCTGCCACGGAGATCAATGGCTCTCTGAAGCTGGGCCCCTCTCTCTGAGCCGCACAAGATCTGCGCCAGCCCTGGGATGCCAGCACACCCTTGGACCCACACAGCTCTGCACCCTGCATCACGGCGTGTGTCTGCGAGAGGGACTCGGAGAGACTTAGGGACTAGGATGGGCCCTATGGACTTGAGTTGGACTGGGCTGGCGTGTCTTATTGATGCACGATTACTGCCTTGGGGGTGGCAGGTTCTCCTCTCTCTGCTGGGCTCTCCCTTCCTTTGAGGTGCTGACAGACACACCCCAGGGAAACGGTCCTTCCAGTGGAGCAAGACGGTGACCCCGGTGAAAGATAGAGCTTTCCACTGAAGTTCCTTGACCTGGGGTCCGGGCTGATCACCTCCTGAGGATGGTCACAGCCCGACGTAACTGTCACCTTGCACCTGGACTTAACCCACAAACCCCTGAGAATCACGGCCAGCCAAGTTGACCCATATGTGGGGAGGAATCCACAACAGAGAGCCCCAGGAGAGAAACCCACCACGTGTCTCAGACTAAGGTCCTGATCCTGCCCCTGCGAATGTGGCTGTGATAGTTTTCAGTGCCCACATGGCTCCCGTAGGAACAAGTGGGCAGGGTTTAGCCTGTCAATCAGGTCACAGCTTAATTGGAGGGCAACGGAGGTAAACAGCTCTCCGAGCTGGCTTCTTCCTCTCTTTCCCCCTGGAGGAGGGTCACACACACTCGCTCTGCTTCACCTTCCTGTTAACGAGCCACTTTGAGCCACGTTGATGGCAGCCAGAGCCCTGGAGATGCTTCCACCACCACTGGATCTTCAAGACTTTGCACCCACCGGCCTGTGATCTTCCTGCATTCTGCATCATCACATGCTCTCAGTGAGTCTAAAGGGGGATGTGTAGACTAATATCAGACTTATGGACTTGACCTGGACTGGGATGGAATGTTTGCTTCATATATGATTACTCTTTGATATAAAGCTCATTCTTATATGTGGGATTATAAAGAGACTCCCCTCCCACCCTCCCTGCCTCCCCCAAAGACATGCCAAACACTAGAGGCTATTTGCCAGCATACGTGGGAGGTCAGATGCTTAGAGACATCCTCCCTGAAGGCAGTCAATTGCCAGACAACTGTCTGCGCCCACCACAGGTAGAGCCTGCTCCCTGATGTTAAGAACAATGGGCTACTTCTCCCTAAAATCTTGAGGCTCCGGTCCCTGTAGGTGGGGTTTACACCCTACTGATAATGGTTTCTATGGAGATCCAGAGAACAGGTCAAACCTGCTCAGTGACATCCACAGTTAGGCTGCCATCCTGAATGTAGGATCCGCCCATCTTGTCACATGTGTGCCCCCAATCTCTCCCCTTCCTATTGCGTGTATATCCCTAGATCACCCCCCTCTCATTGCTGTACTACCTATAGTGCAACCCCTTCCTGTGACGTGTGTCTTTACCTGTAATTAGCGGGCTTGCACGCCCCCCAAAGGTATATAAGCCTTCGTTAGCAAGGAAGAGTCCCCTTGGCCTCTCTCGGCTCTTCCCATCCCCTCTCCCCTGTTCCCTTTCCCCTTGTCCTCCTGCCCCTCCCCCACTCTCCTGCCCTCCGGCCTCCCAGCTCCATGTGGACCACCACCTGAGGCTGAGGTGAGCATGCTACCATGAAATGTGTCCGACTCCATTACTTCAATCTCTCTTCTATCTCTCATGCTCTCTATGACTACTATAACCTTTATATATACTCAACTGTGCAATTGTGCCTATCGAACCCACGATTAGTTGCGGGGGGCTGGCCTTTACCCCACACTTATACATGTATGAGTGTCCCTGGATTTGTTTCTCCAATCAAACCGATCTAATGCAGTGAACTTGTTTGGAAATGTGATTGTTCTTTTGCTAGAATTTAAAGGAAGTGAGGTGATACGAGGGTTGGACGGATGTGTGTGTGTGTGTGTAGTATGTGTTAGTGTGTGTGTGTGTGTAGTATGTGTGTATAGTGTGTGTGTGTAGTGTGTGTGTAATACAGTATGTGTGTAGTGTATGTGGGGTGTGCATGTAGTGTCTGTGGTGTGTATATATGTGTGTAGTGTGTGTAGTATGTGCGTGTAGTATGTGTGTAGTGTGTGTAGTATGTGTGTATAGTGTGTGTGTAGTATGTGTGCAGTGTGTGTAGTGTGTGTGTGGGGGGTGCATGTAGTGTGTGTGTATATGTATGTAGTGTGTGTGTAGTATGTGTGTAGTGTGTGTAGTATGTGTGTATAGTGTGTGTAGTATGTGTGTATAGTATGTGTGTAGTGTGTGTGTAGTATGTGTGTGTAGTATGTGTGTATAGTATGTGTGCAGTGTGTGTAGTGTGTGTGGTGTGCATGTAGTGTGTGTGTATATGTATGTAGTGTGTGTTGTGTGTGTAGTATGTGTGTAGTGTGTGTGTAGTATGTGTGCAGTGTGTGTAGTGTGTGGGGGGGATGTGCGTGTACTGTGTGTGGTGTGTGTATATGTATGTAGTGTGTGTGTAGTATGTGTGTAGTGTGTGTGTAGTGTGTGTGCGTAGTATGTGTATATAGTGTGTGTGTGTAGTATGTGTGCAGT